GGCAAAGTATCATGCAATATGTGTGATATTTTTGTGGAAAGACCAACCCCTGAGCGAAGCCAAGTCATGAACCCGGTCAGACGGGCCGGTCAGCAGGCGCCTGGGGGTGCAGGTCTCGGCTTTAAACCCGAATGAATGACCATGAATTCAAGCCTGGACCTTCAAAGGGGTCACCAATGGAGATCCCTAGGTAGTGTAGGGGCTTCCAGCCAGGTGACCCCTTTGAAGGTGCTGGAGGGAACATGTGGAGTCGATTTGGTTTCGGACCGCAACCACCGCGCCAGGAAGCCAATGAGAAGAGTCAGCTGTGGGGCGGCCAAAGCCAATCGCCTTTTGTAGAGCTTGATAGGGTGGGCCAAAGCCAATTGCCTTTTGTAGAGCTCGATAGGGTGTGTCCCCCTATAGCAGTAGGAGCCTTTACATGCCTTTACCATCATCATCCACAACGCTTGCTGGTAAGAGCCAAACAGGATTCATACCAGACGATTCAAAAGGGTGTCCAATGATTTTTGATGTTCACCTGTTATAAGGAGCGTCCAATGAGCACCTCTTTCAGTAACACATTCCCGATGTAAGAGAACCCCAGTAACAGTTCCGATTTAAGAGAACAACGTGAAAAAAAATCCTGATGTAACAGGACAGGGTAGAACCATGAACTCCGAGATCGGGCGACACGGAATGACACGGTATGGGCTTACATCGGGTTTTCTTAAGGTATGTCCATTGGACACTCCTTAGGCTTAAGGAGTGACCAATGAGCACCCCTTGGTTTCCTCGGGTTTTGACCACCGACACGGAATGACATGGATTGACACGCAGGCGGCCGACGTCTCCAGCGACCCGAATCCCAAATCCTGTCCATTCACAAGTATCCCTTAAAAAGTTGTGATTCTATACGAGGATCCCTCAAAAGCACTTGTCAAACACTTAGATTCCTAAGGGGTGTCCAATGGTTTTTAGCTTAAGGGGCGTCTAATGGACAGGACTTCGATGCACCTGGTAGACGAGCCTTCCAAACAAACCGTCACTGAAAAGGTCCAGTCTGCCGATTGGAGACTTTTGGAGGCGAAAGGGCTATGTCATGTTCCAAATTGCCTTACCCTACGAATCCTTGGGCCCTCCATGGCAGGGGTCAGACCCTCCATCCTCAAAACCCGATGCCCCCCTAAGTATTTGAGGGCCCGGATTCTTAGTGATGGGTACTTGTTAGTCCCTACGTGAGTGGATATTGCGCCCCTTTGAAACTGCCGGTAGGGGAGGCTTTGGCAGAGCTGGTAATATGACAATTTTGATAGGATGCTTTGATCTCAGATGATTTCCCAGAGACTTTGCGCATATTTGTTAGGATTTTGCTGGGTGCTTTCCTTGTATACATCATGCCACTTTCCCAATACCCTCAGGAGGCTATCGGGTTCCCACTCCTTTATAATCATATGCTCAAATTGTGCTCCATCTACATTGTACCCTCCCCAAAAAACTTGGAGAACACACCAGTGGAGAAAGAGGAGAAACCATTCCCTGTCGTATTTCCATGACTTTTTGTATCCTTTTGTGTGTTTGTGTGTCGACTCCTGTTGAGAAAGGAACTCGACCACCCCAGTGACTAACAAAGACACTGTTAATCGGATGTTTCGTACCTGAAACTGTCTTTTGTTTGAACTGTTGACCACGCTGTTACCCTCATTCTCCCGTAAAGTGCTAGTGCGTCTTTGTTACAACATTCGGTTGATGCGGACTTTGCCACCTTTCCGTTCTGCAAGTCAAGGTCTAGCTTTCAGCAACGTACAGGGCTAACGCACTGGGAAATCACAACTGATTTAGCTCTTGCGAGCATTTGTCTAAGTGTGCTCATATATTAGCTGTCGGGGCATCCAGCCCACCAAATTCATGGCAAGCAGATCCCAGTTTCCACATGGTGTCCACGTGGTGCTCACAGATTTCCAAAGGTCTACAGTGGCTTCATCTACCTATCACAGCCATCCATCGTTTATCGCCTACCATGAAGACCCTTGAAATCGAACCGCCGCGTCTGGCTCGACCAGGACCACCGCCGAGCTCTTCGCGCAGTTGCGGGACTTGGAGCAGAGGCGGACCGGAGCGGCGGAGAACGGCCCGGGCCGTGGAGAACGGCTGACCCGACGGATGCCCCTGCAAGCCTCTGAGAAGAGCAGGGAGACATTTGAGAGAGTTAAGTTGCACCATTTCAGAAGGCATGTGGATCAGTTTTTGGTGCTTTTTTTCCATACTGATCCCCCTTGGGCGATCTCAAAAGGTGGAGCTTCCATGCTTTGTTCGGATGCTGAACAAAAAGGGATTGAGGACACCGGCAGGACACAGGGCCATACTACAAATGCAAAAAACGCTCCCGGAACCCTGCGCGCGCCTTTTGGCGGCATGCGCTCCCGACTTGGTGGAGAAACAAGAGCACCCCTCGATGTTGTTGTTCGTCGACATCTTAAACTCGTGGACAGATGTGAATTACCAGCAACCACAAGGGTTGCCCATTGGACACCCCTTAGCCAATTGTTCCTTCCAAATGGACACCCCAAGGAGGGGCCTGCCTGAGCTCACGTTGTTGGAACGCCCCAACCGTAGCACCTTCTGAGCTCCGTCGCCGGTCGGGGACCAGCCGCCGTGCAAGCCGTGGCCGTGCTGAACCCGCCACGGGCGGCTCATGTGGTTATGGATCGCACCGCAGTCCCGGGGAGCCCTCGGAACCTGGTGCCTTGGCCGGCGCGCGACTGGGGGGAGAGGTGTGCAGTCGTACTGGTCCAAGTACCTTGGACAAATGGGTAATATTATGGTAATATGATAGACTTAGGGTCAGTCATGTCATTTTCTATACGGGATAATTAGTATAATTACTTTGGAGGGTCCAGGTGGAAGCAAATGAGAAAGAAACCGGCAGAAGTAAGGAAAGTCACTTAAAAGGGTGCAAATGCAACGAAATGCCGTTGATCGGCCACGTGCGGTGACCCTTTTGGCGCTTCGTTTAAAGTGTTCATCCCGCATGTTCTCCAAGGTGTGCATGAGTTTGTTGAACAGATTTCCGTGCGGGTCAATCTTGGGATCTTCCAAAAGGCAGGGCTTCGCATCCCTCCAAAAACCCTGTCGGATCCATTTCAGTGCTTCATCAATCACAGCCACCTTGCTCCGAAAAGCCCGATTTGGGCCGAACTAAGAGCTAAACTGACCACTGGTCGAATCCATTCACCGGCAGTTTTTGCGGCTTCCGCGTTGAGCGCTGTGGCTTTATGTGGCCCGTGCCGAAACGACGGGTCGGTGCCAGCCTGGGGGGTCGGGAACGGCGGGTGGTCGCGCTTCGCCGGATCCATAGACACGACGAGTCTGGGACTGCCATGGGACTGCCGTCCCATTGACCCCTCTGGCACCACCCTAATGTATTGTATATGCCGTACAACTTTCGACCAGGTCGCAGCTACGCCCAACGCAGAACTCTACGACTGCAGCAAGGTATTTATCATGCCTAGCTTAAGAGTCCCCCTTGGGACTCTTCAGGGCTTTGCAGCCGCAAATGCTGCGGTGTTCTAAAGTTGAGCCCTGAGCCAGATGCAAGGCTCAAATGCAAAGAATGAGAATCGAACACTCGAAGATCACATGCCACAGACCCTACAACTGACAGTTGTCAGATGGCCACGGCTCACACATCAAGCACCATCCAAAACCGATGGGTAAAAGGCGGGTATTTCCGCTAAAACCTGCAGGCTCGTGTGTTTTGAGTGTTTGAGTCACCTGTACTGTTGAGATCTTGAACACCCGAATCTTTACTTTGATGCAGGATCTACCGCAACCTACCCGAAGCGCTACGCGTGGATATGACACCATGGGTGGGCACGGGGTTGTCGTCACCAGATCGTTTTTTCAACCGCTCAGGACATTGACAAATGCATTGCTCGGTTGATGGAATGCAAGTTCCTCAGTGGCTCGGCCACCTGCGAAAACCCCAACTGCCCGCAGGTGGTACACTTTTCAGCGCAAAAACTGGCAGCCTCCGTGGTTTAGAACCTGTTGGGCTATATATGTGCAGTAACATGTGCGTTTCCGGCACTGCGCAGTGCAGGGGCCCATGAAAGGGGGAAGAGTGCTTGTACATGAGCAGCAGGGGGGCAGGCGTATGTTTGGTTGTCACCTCCACAAACTCAATGACGGACTGTAGAGTGAGTAGAGTGAATCTGTTCACGTTTTGCTCCAAGCGGGCTTTACATTTTGAACACCTGATTGAATATCATAGGGATACATATATAGGGTATATATACACTCGATATCAGATATGATGCCCATCCATCCCAGTTCGAGACAAAAGCAACAGTTGGCAACGGGCAGCAGTAAATTGGACGCCTGCCGACTCCATATACCCTCCCTGCAACAAACATGGTTACGTGGACGACCCCCTGTTGGTAGAGGAGAATGGTCTTTCCAGGGGCCATGTTGAATTTCCATATTTTTCTTCCAGGGAGGGCAATCATAATCCCTAGGGCTCCAACTACCTGGCTTTCCAGGGCCCAAGCATTTTCGTACTTGAGCCCGAACAAGGTGTGAAAATCCATTTGGCATTCCATGTGTGGAGTCTGAATCAGTTGAGTGTTTAGCAATTAGCATGTCCTTTGGCAAGCCTTTTGCCATGAAACATGTTGCATTCATGGCAGCCATGGTTGGCTGAAAACAAAGAAGATCCTTCAGCTTTACGCATGTTGTACGTGTACAAGCTTGAGTGTGAGCGGGCTATCTCCGCAACAAGACTGGGAGTGTGTTGACATTGCAGCCGTTTTGACATTGTACCTTTTCTCTTGACCGCAAACCATCAACCAGTTTACAAGCCGTGTGGCTTTTATACCCTGTCACACTTAATAATTGTGATGATTGATCTGATTGATGGCCCCTTTCCTACAGGAAGCTTGGGCAGCAAACCCACCTGAGAACATACGCGCCCTTGCAGCCTTGCAAACATGGATTTTAACTTATAACTTATACTGCTTGAGATGGCACGGTGTGCTTTTGTATCATTCTTCTATTCTTTTTGCGGCGCTCGCATCCCGAATCCTTGCGTCACTCCATCGCCCGCTCGCGGCGTATTCGGCCGGGGTGCCCGTGCCAATACGTCTTCCGGGTGGTTCCGAGGCGAAAATGAGGTGAAGCAGCTGTGTGATTTGGCCAAGGAGATCTTGCACGAGGAATCCAACGTCCATCCCGTGCGTTGCCCCGTGACCATCTCCGGCGACATCCACGGGCCGCACGGCCGCGTTCGGGAAAGCAGGAAAGCAGCAGGTTCTTTTTGTGGGGAAGGGTGGGTGACAGGGAAGCACTCACCAGTTTGGATGGGTGGATTGTTTTTTTTTCCACACCTAATTAATGGATATTTATAATTACTGTAGTTAAGGAGGTGGGTCGATCATGAAAACCTGACCTGGCGTGTGATGGTCACATTGAAACAGTCACAATCCACGACGTTTTGATGGTGAACGCCGAGCTGGATCCACCGGCCTTGGATCCAACGTGCCCGTCTTCACCGATCCACGGGTCGTTCGGAAACAAGACCCGGGGTGAGAAAAGGGGAAGATCCGGATTCCAAGCTATTCCAACCACCATGTATTTGCTATACTAGAATTATATACATAGTTCTTACTAAACCTTTGTTTTACTCAGGACTTTAACAATACAAACACCAGAATCAACCTCTTCTTTGAATGGTCTTGGAAGACTAGGGTGACCCCTTCGCCCGCTCAACCTCCAAGGCAGTTTCACGATTTGATGGAGCTCTTCCGAAGCTTGGTCTTGGTTTGGAACCGCCGATGGCGCCTGCCGGATCTTGGATCGCCTGGCGCCATCGATTTTCCCAAACGGGGTGAATCCCCAAACCTGGAAAAAGATCAGTACCCACGGTCGGGGTTATCAATGGACACCCCATATATCACCTCTTTTCGGGGCCAATAGACACACCTGACAGGGTGTCCTGGTATGCGTGATCTCCTTTTGGCTTCCAACCAATAATTTAATAGCCTTTACCGAATCAACTAAGGATTTTGCACTACAATGAGATCAACCATTTTTGGGTCTTGGAAGTCTAGGGCTCACCTACCTCACCTATACCCGGGTGAGGCACGGTTGGTTGTGCGGCACGGTGGGGGCTCCTCCAAACAGGGATGATGATGGAGCCTTTGATGATCCTTTATGTGTGAGTGTTTGAGTATGGCTCAAACAATCTCCATCTCCATCAGGATAGCCGGCCGCGCATGTTCAACCATGTTCAACCCTTCCAGCAGTTCAGTTGGCCAACATCCGTGGCAGCTCTTTTGGTGCCTGAGGCATTGGCGGATTCCTTCCAGATACCAACTACCTTTTTCTAGGACAGATGTGGATATGTGTGGGGCTGAGTTGCTATCCGTTTTGGAATGATTGGCTTGGTAGCTTGAATGGATAGTAGGACCGACTCGTTAAGAACGCAAGTAAGCGGGGTGTTCCGTGTTCCAGGGCCCTGGGGCCCATCTAACAATAGACCCTTAGCGGTTAAGCCATGTAACAACCCGGCCATGGGAGCCCTGGTGGTTGTTTCTTTGTTGCTTTCTGCCGGGCTATGCTGGGCTCATCACCAATTGCCCCCAGGATTTGACCCATCCCAAGAAAGGGATAAGTTTTTATTGCACGTTGTTTGTACTCAGCAGATAGTAAGGTCTCAGACCTCTTGTGTTGATGCAACATGTTCGTGGACTACACAACTTCTGGATGTTCATTGGGCACCCAACGGATAATTATATTGTCATCTCAAGTAAGTCTAAGCTCCTGCTTGGACGGGGTGTGGGCCAGAACCTCAACTCACGTGTTGTCAACAAGCTGTACCGGTGAGCTGGGGGGGAGGGCGCCGGGGATGGGTCCATGAATGCCTTTGCTAAGAGGTGACTGTTGCTTAAGACACCCCCACCGGCCCCACCTATCAGGCATGTTTGAGGCTGAACTGATGCATGTTGTATGCATTTCTTCTTTGTCATCGTCCGAGTCCACTCGTCACGAAAGCTCCCTTCCACTCGTTTTACTGGCGCACCACCTGGGCGCAGGAGACTACGTGGATCGAGGCTACTTTTCCGTCGAGTGCGTGTCCCTCCTGCTGAGTTTCAAGGTCCGGCACCGTGAACGGAGCCTCGGCCGGGTGGGCCGACACCCCGTGATCCTCGACCAGATGGCTAGTTCCAGTGGCGCAAAACCAAAGCCAACCTGGAGTGGTCCAGTGGTCCAGTTCTATGCCTACATTGGGGTGGTTTTGGGGGTCAATGTAGGCATACATGGCAGTCCCATGGAGTGTTTGGGAAGGACTTCTGGAAAAAAACACAGTGAGAAACAGTCGCAATATGTCGCAATGCCTCTCATCCGGATGTCGTCCTCGTCGTGCGTGTGTTTGTTCATGGTGTTTTTTTCTTGGTTCGTGCGGAGTGCCCGCATCTGAAAGGGGGGATGCTGGGGAGGCCTCGAGGGATGCGTGGGGGAAATCCAGAAGACCAGGTGATGTTTCAAATACCTTTTTTTCCTGGTGGAAATTTGATGAGAGTGCACCTCCCAAAGCTGTAATACCCAACAAGCAACCCCAAAAGAGGAATAGAAACACACCTCATATGACTGAACTCGGACAATTTCATCATTGAGCACAGGTTCAGATAGATTCAACCTACTCCAGTTTCCGTCCAAGCAATTCACATGGTTTGTTTCATCCTTTGACCTTTTGTTATGGTTGCTCCAAGCTCGGCATCCCTTTTTGTGACGGAGATTATGTTTGGCGTATAGATTATTGTAGATTGCTTTACCACCACTTCTGGGGAGAGCCAAGATACTGAACTTCCTACAGTTGAGGCGTGCGGAGTGCGGAGCGGTTGAATCATAGATGTAACGTGGAGGTACTGTGTTGGTCGGATCTCATTTATTCGGAGTAAGTAACCTGCTTGGTCGGATCTCATATTGAGGTAAAGCATGTCAGACACCACCCGAAGTGCAAAATCCACTGGAAAATGGTAAGATTTGCACCAGGTCTGCTTGAGCCACCCTCACCACACCAATCCGACACCCAAGTTGGACATCTTCGCAGTACCGCACATGGACCCTGAAAGCACTGGGTGGTAGATGAACTCTCGGTCTATGTTGACGGCCACAGGGTATCTGTCTCCACTCTGAAGGTGAAGGCCGAACCATGCAGTTTCCAGGAGCCACATGGAGTTGGGTGGTTGTCCATGCTCGTCCCATCCAGTGGAATGTTCTGGACGACTGCCTCACAGTTCGGCACTCCGACCCGCCTTCTCACTCCGGATGGTGTTTCTTTTTGTGTGTGTTCTTTTTTCCTGGTGACCGCTGAGGATCACGATCTTGCGGGGCAACCATGAGAGCAGGCAGATTACACAGATCTATGGTTGCTCGCAGCAGGGTGGGGACTGATGGGGGAGCAAGGAAAAAAGGGATCAGGACGGTATGCTGGCAAGGGGGGAGTCGAGCTAAGAAGCCTGATGGTTAGGGGGCGTCTCCTTCCCGATCACCTCTTGCTAGGAAGGAGGCGACCGCGAGCCTTCCTTGTATGGAACTCGGAAACGGCTGCAGCCGGGTGATGGATCCAGTACCGGGTCAAGGTCCGGTCTGCCAGACGCATGGCCTGGGTCGTGAGATGGGTCGAGGAGAGGGGTTACAACGGTTCATGGGGTTCTTCGGTGAAGCGGACTTGGGCGCCAGCGGCGACGCACTTGGGCGACATCGCCATTCCTGGCGAACTCCTTGACTCATCGCCATGATCCAGGAACCGCTGTCGGGGTGGTTAGTGGACACCCCGATCACCTCTTTTTGGGGCTATCAATAGGCACACCTTAGGGTGTCCTGGTAGAGTCTAGAGGGATCCACATCAGCATCCCTTCTCAGAAGGTACGACTGACTCGACCCTCCAAGACCGCCTACATCAAGTCTACCTGCTCACCTTCTCAGAGGGTATGCCCTCGAGCCGGTTCCCCCCACCCAAATGGGTGAAAGGATCCTGAACCCGTGCCGCGGACATACTCATCGAGGTTTCTTCGATGAGTGCAACCGGAAGTATGGCAGCCAGAGTGTGTGGAAGATGTTTACAGACCTCTTCGATTATTTGCCTTTGACTGCCCTGGTCTTTCGGCTGCATCCGAGTCGAGCCGAGCTCCGACTCCGGCCGCCTGGGTCGCCGTCTTCTTTGGACTGACCGGTGGGGTGAAGCGCGTGCAGGGGTGACCTGTGGGAAGCCCCCAACCAAAAGCATCCAAAAGCCACAGAGTTTTGGTGAGCTCAGGTGCTTTGTATGAGGTTCATGACGCCTGATGGCCTTCAGATTCTGGACCCCCATATCCATGGGGAAGGGTGCTTGGTTGGGGCTCCGGACCCCCTTGCGAAAACGAGAAGAAAAGTCCGAGCCTAGCTGGTCCAAGGATTCATTCGGGTAGACTCCTGAGCAGGTCACTATAATAAGAAGGGCATCGTCCGAGAAGCCGGCCTGGGAACAACCGGCTTGGAGAATCTTGGACAACTTGAGAACCGATTTGCTTGGTTCTCCGAAGTTCGGAGAGAAGTGTGTCAACCCTCCAAGCACGGTACCTATATACTGTATTCCCTAGGTTTCCAACCGCCATTGATTCAATAGGCTTTATCGAACCACCATTAGTTTTGCTAAAGATTTTGTACCGCAAAACCATGTCAACCATGTGTTTAATGGTCTTGGAAGTCAAGGGCTGTAATACGAACTACATGGTTTTACTAAGTATGGGTTTTGGACTCCAAAACCAGGTCCATCGAACTCTTTGAGAGGCGGTAGGTCGGCTAGGTCGGCTCGGCTGAGTGTTTCACTGTGGACGGGAGACTTTCAACTGCCTATAAGGTTGAGAACAAGATCTTCTCGCAGCATGGGGGGTTGTCCCCGAACATCGCGCCTGGGCCGAACGCTGGGGGGTGCAGGGCCGAACGCAGGGTGCGGCCGGGGTGAGTACTTCAAGGGGTACACCAGGGGTGTTCCTGGAACTTCGCCACCACGGAGGTTCAGTTGGGGCTGAACCAAAACCCAATCATCCCAGTCCATGATGGATGTCTTTTGATGCCTTGAGGATTAGATGCTGATCTCAGGCCCAATCCGGATCATTCCCCCGCCCTAGTCTGTCTCGATCGCTGAACCATCGGCGTTTGCCCAGACCGCCCAGACCGTCACCCCACCATCGGGGCTGTGCCCACCGTCCCAAGGACAAGCTGGATGACGTGAGGAAGTTGGATCGTGTTCAAGAGGCCTTGGGAGACGAGCATGAAGACGCGACGGCGTTGACGTGAAACACGCGCGAACAGAGGGAGCATGAGGCGAAAAAAAAGGGGCAACAGAAGCACTGCGACGTGACAGTCTGTGGAAGGCTAAGGCGGCTAAGGGTGCATTTTTTTGGGGGGGGGGTGTTACTGTATAAGTCTAAGTTGTTATAGGGCTAAAGTATGCTAATAGTGATATATAGTGATGTAACTGTTTAGATGTGGATGATTAGACCTCCCATGTCAGGACTGTTTGATACTGTTTGTATTCGGTTGTGATTTAGAGCTTTTGCCCTTTCGATGTGTTTGCTTGAGCTGCCAGCCTGACCAGACAGGGAGAGGGATTGCCAAGGCTTGCGCGGTTTTATGTGGTGTGTGATCCTCCTTCCATCCTCCGTCACATCCCTTCACTAAATATAGTTGTTGACATTTCAGATTGAAAGATCAAAGAGATCCAAAGCTAGATTCCTTCCAGATGCTGTACACCCTCCCACATCACCATGCGGCACCCATGCGCCCCGCCTCCCACCTGCTCCCACCGCCCGGAACCTCCCGTGGTTTCCTCTATCGGCCAGGTGCCCCATGAGGGCGCCATGTGCGATTTGCTCTGGAGCGATCCGGATGACCGCTTGGGCTGGGGTGTCTCTCCCCGGGGCGCCGGATACACCTTTGGACAGGACGTCTCGGAGCAGCCGGGCGGAACCAACAGCGAACCGGGGACGGTGTGTTGTGGTGTGTGGTGGTGTGTGGCGTGTGTGTTTTTTTCTACGTCTTCATTGCATGCCTGAAGTATTGAATTCTTTTTCTTGGGTCGCCGCCGTTTGTCACACGGTTTGGTTGATGAAATGCTTTCCAGGGAAAGCTCTTCTGGTGCTCGTGGGGACCAAAGTGGGGTGGGCCTTTTGTTTTGAACGGTGCCTTTTGTTTTGAATGGTTGGTGTACATGTTTAGGAAGATGCTGTGCAACTGCATGGGGGGACCTGTGGATATACCACAGTGATTCTCACAGTGTCCTCCCAGTCATTCCAAGGAAGTTCCTGGAAGTGGCAGCTGCCATGACGGACAAATTCCTCACAACACAGTCGTAACGGTCACTGACCTACCCGTGAAACATGGATAACGCTAGGCTAGGTCTCATCCTTTAACCCGTTTTTGGGTGAGTAAACATCACTCCCCACACAGAACCAACAGGTGGACAGTTCGGTTAACCTTTCCAGCAAAACCGCCACGGGAGTCTCAGCAACATTTGTGTTCATGGTGATCACGTTGACTTCGAGCAGCGCGTTGAGCGCCATGCCAAGGAAGTTCAACCAAGCCAATGGTCTGAATTTGATCGCGCGCGCTCATCAACTAGTCATGGAGGGCTTCAATTGGAACCACGAGCAGCTGCTTGCCATGCACATCATTCACACATCTCGGGTGGAATTGTGCTTGTGCTTGCTGGTTGGTGTACTTGTAGATCGGTTGGTGCTTGTGTGGGTAGGATTTGTCGAACTGTGTTGTTTGCAGGATGTCAATCGCAAAGATGAGTTATATACTGTAATGTTCATGAACCTCCAATAGCAACAGTTGCATGCACTTGACAGGCAAGTAGTGACAATATTCTCGGCACCAAACTATTGCTACAGATCTGGAAATCAGGCTGCAATCATGGATCCTTGACTTGCATTTGGGTCGGGAACTTCTTTGTCCTGGATGTATCATGTAACACTGAAATGCACTGAAGATGTTTGTAGATGGTAGTTGAGATATTGCTGCTTTTTGCCCGCCTCAGCCGTTTCTTTGCTGTCAAAACATCCGCCGAACCTCCCGTTTTCGCCAAGGAGGTGGATGAGCGTTTAGGCTCTCACTTTGTGCAATTTGACCCCGCGCCACGGCGGGGGGGAAGCCGCCATTGGCCGTCCTCCTGTCGAATACTTCCTTTGAGCGGCTCGCGGCAAACGCGCCACGCACGCGCGGCCGAAAACGCGCGTGCCGGGACGCTAGCCCTCCTGCTGGGCGCTCACGAAGATGAGTTTGTTGCGTGGGGCAATTCTCAGAATCTGAGGATTCATGATGGAGCCGAATGGGCTTGCATGAGTTGGAGCAGAAATGCTTGTAGACACCAAAATGGCGCGTTTCTGGAATTGGGCATGTGTGGAACAGTCGAGCTGTGCACCATGACTGAAGGTGTTCACATGGATACATGGCGAGATAAGCAGCAACAGATATTGAAATGATGCGAAGATACCCAGACACGACCCGTCTGGGACTGCCATAGGACTGCCGATCAGATGGGGTCCTTTGGGGGGGTCAATGACATATATGGCAGTCCCATGGGCCGTGTCTGGGTTACATGATATTACTAGCTTTATGATGCTTTATGATAACATTCGAACGGGGTGAGCAATGACCAGTTCAATCTGAAGGATGTTTTTCTGGTCATTCTAGTTGAGCTGCCAGGGCAACGCTCCAAAAGTCAGATCCACCAGCTAATGTCAACGCAACAAAGGCGCTCAGTCCGTTGCACAGGGTGCTGTGGGAGAATTCGAAAACAACATTGCCTCAAAGGATATATAGGCATGTGTATAGGCTGAATCTATGCAGCTTCGCAGGTTATTGCTTTGTTCCTTGGATGACGATGGTCTAGGGGGTCTAGGACGTCTCCCTGTATTTGGTTGGTCCAGAGTGCGCGTGGCGTTGCTTTCTGGGTGTGACCTGAACATGTCAGGCGCTCCGAAGCCTCATCTGCCTTGGCGCTGAAGCTCAGATGGTATTGCAGACTGGACGGTGTTGAAGTTGACCAACAGCTACCCAAAACCAGAGCAGACAGCCACCTCGCTGGCGGATTTGCAAGGTTCGTGATGGATCATCGAACAAGGAGCGATCGGACATCATTGAGTAGTGTTTTGGTACCAGTAACTCCAGTATTTGACCAGTAATTAATGAGTAAGATCCCTTTGCGTAGTCGTAGGAGTAAGATCCTCCATGATTGGTTCGAAGGAGGGTAGGCCAGTCGTCAGATAACTGATGCCCAGATCCCTGATTTTATCCCTCAACTTCTAAGACCTAGGGTGCCATTGCTCAGTTGCAAAGACCAGCGAGGGCCTGAGCCATTTGGAAATGGACGCCCTGTTCGCTGTGCAAGGGTCTAATGACCATTGACTTTGCAAGTTCATCCACTTGAAGCAGCTGTTCTGTCTCCTTGGCTTTCATTCCGAACCCCAGTTCAACTCTCAGGTATGATGTATGTTGTATGCTCAACCGACCAGCTAGCTCAGTGGAATTCCATGGACCATGGAATACCCTGCAACCGACGAACAGGGGGGGGCGCCCCACAGCCAAACTCAAGACGAACAGGATCGAAAACAGGTGAAAAAGCTTATAGGTGAAGCTTTTCATTTTCACAGGGAGGTGAACTGGGCCTCGGGAGCCAGTTTTAGGTAGCTGTGAAGTGCTTGCTGTTTGGCCCGGACATGTTTTTTTGTTGTTTTTCCCGTGCAAAAGTCAGTTGATTTGGGACTCACTGGTCATCCAAATTGATAAATTGGGTGGTGTTCCACCAAAGGGCATCCCCACCCACAGCCCTTTGCCAGAATTCGTCTAACCATGTCTTAAACCGATTTGTTTGGGGGGGGGGGGCGGGGTGATCCAGGGGCATTGAGAGCATTCCACGAATCCGAGACTCGACCGCGACTCGAGGCGGGTGCGGAATCGGAGAAAGCCACCTTGGAACGAGAGGTGGAGAAGGTGAGGCGTACTTGGGTACCTATGGGGACGGCGGGGACCTATGGGGACGAGTGCGGACCTTGTTCCCCTTGTTCAGTGTGGACACACTGTTTGGGGTTCTGACGGTAGGAGTTTGCAGCTGTGCTGCACGATCGCTGTCAGCACTTCTGGTAGTACTTCTGGTTCTAGCACGGCGCACGGGTGTTTGAAAGCGCTAGTTTGTTTCCAGACATGACCCGATGTCCATCGCGGAATATGGTTGAACTACCCCTGTGTGGCCTATAGGGATCCATTGCCACTGTCGAAACGAAGGTACGACTGGGCCCTCCAAGACCACCTCCTCACCTTCGTCTCCCTGCTCACCTTGACTCACCTTCTCAAAGGGTGGCAGTGAATCCAGTCCCGCACCCACTCAGTGGAAGACCTTGTACAGTAGATTCAGAGTAGATGCCACAATCCCTAAAAGGTGGTGTTGAAGGACCTCTTTAAACCTAAGACATCTGAGGGTTTGTGCCATGTATATACCCTGAAGACACTTATAATCATTTTTTGTCGGGCACCCAAAACCTCAGAGCTGGACGGTTCAGTGCACCGAAGGGATTGGCGGAACCTGGGAGTTCTACTGAGCCAGTCAACTTGGGCAATTAATTAGAAATGACATGTTCTTAGCATGATGAACTAATAATATTAATAATTTATTACATGTAGTGATTGATTCTGTTGTAGGATGATGAATCATTTTGGCAAATTATGATTAGGTTCTTGAAGAATGAATCATTAAATATTTCCCCAGTGATGTTCTAAGAGTCTAAGATGTTCTAAGAATCCACCGCCGCCGGGCGATGACCCCGACTGGCCAGTTGGATCAGCCCGGCGTGGACATTTCACTCACAAGCCATGAGGCCGAGGGTGACCCAAGCAAAGTAGCCTTGGACAACAAATAACATGAAACCCCAAAGCCAGTGGTTTGTAGAGGCGAGCAGCTTCTGTGCATGTCAACAATTATATGTTTGGCCATGTTTGGCCGTGTTTTTGTGTTTCGGAGCTGTCGGGTTTCACTCGGTTTCCCCAACACCCAAGGCATACTCCACTTGCTTCGTTGAGGGGAGAAAGCTCCCTGCAATCGAACCTCGAAGAACGGCACCATGGGTTGGAGCGCCCTGCAATCGCAGGTTCGGAGTAGCAAGAGCAAGTTCTTGGAGGAGAGGATTTGGATTTCGGAACATGAGTCGCACGCCACTCTTTACTGCAGTTCTTTCAGAATAGATGGCACACACCCCAAGAGGATTTTTTTTACGAGGGTCCATATAAGCTACCGAACTTGGGATTGTGCCATCTACTCTGAAACCACTATTGAGGACTTCACCCTCAACAAAAACGTGTGGAATCCCTCAAGAAGGGAAGATTGAGGTTCAGAGCCCCTAGAATACCTTGGATCACCTGCCAAATCGAACTTCGTGCAGACAGGGGGGACAGCCAAACTCAAGACGAACAGATGAAAAAGCTTCGGTGAAGCTTCATTTTCACAGGGAGGTGAACTGGGCCTCGGGAGCCAGTTTTAGGTAGCTGTGAAGTGCTTGCTGTTTGGCCCGGACATGTCTTTTTCCCATGCAAAGTCAGTTGATGTGGGACTCAGTGGTCATCCAAATTGATAAATTTGGTGTGTTCCACAAAAGGGCATCCCCACCCACACCTCTTCGGCAGAATCAGTCTAAAGTGATTTTGGGCCGGGGGGGGGATCCAGGGGCATTGAGACAATTCTACTTTACAGGCACTAAGTCCTCCAAGCTGCTGGTTCTATGTGGAGGGTTCTCCATTGAGAGCTGCGTGGAACTGGAAAATTGGAACCCACATTCATACCAGAGCCCCCTAATTGGGCGTGTATTGATTTAGCCTTATAAGGGGTTAAGGGGTGTCCAGTAAGCACGCGTGTAGACAAAAAAGATGTTCTGTAGATCGACTGTATTCCCCAAGCCCTCAATTCGTTGCATTGAAGGAGTGGCAGCTACGGTACGCCGGTACGCTTCGGGGCACTGCGGCCGTGGCAGGACCATGCCAGCATCCTCGAACGCCTCCAAAGTGAATTGGCCGAGGCTGCTGGGCCGAGCGGAGCTGAGGCCGCAGGGGCGAGGCCTCCGAGCTTTGCAGAGTAACATGGGATGGGATTCTAGGCATTTCTAGGCAACTATATTGTTGAGTTTGAAGGCTTTCCTATAGAAGAAGCCCTTTCTTCCTTTCTTAGAATCTGCTTTGACCTTGTTTGTTTTGAAGTAGACTTTGTCATTCGCACTATTCCCAATGTTGTTCCAGACACCATCCGGACATGTGTGATTTGTTGTATACTGCAGCGTGCTCATTTGCTGTCCCGTTTTCCTAATTATAGCAGTGCACCCTTCCGCGACGATGAAGGCTGAATGAATTTATGGTTCCCGCCCCGAAACACTGACAGAACAGGCGGCAGGCTAGTGGTTCTTGGGGTTGCCCATCATTGACAAAGACATGGAAGCGTACATGGAAACTGGATGACAATGGCACCTTTGAACAACAATGTTCCCTTTGTAGGGTAAAATAGGGGAACCATGATCTGAATTGAGCTGTACCAAAGGACCACAGCGACCAGTCCTATTTTCTAGACCTGAGCTAGTAGCAGGTCGTCGGCCATGGGGCTCTCAGGTAGCTGCACGGGTGGAGAGGCCAATCGTTCACCTTGAAGCTGTTGAAAGAGATCCCCAAAGGCATATGTCAAAGTGTTTCAAAGTGTAGTCCCATGTAATCCCTTCAAATGGAGCAAGATTCACAGTTGGGTGTGGAGATGAGTTGTTTGGGTGGATCTCCTTGGCCGTGATGCCAGTCCATTCGATGCGATCCTTCGAGGCTTACGCCAGCTCGCACGCTTCCGCCTCCGAGTCGAAGCTTGGTTTATACCGATGTCGGGATGTTGTACTTTGCAACTGGACTGGACGAGCTGGTGCCAACTTGGAACGAGTGGACAGAAGCTTGGAAGTAGGAAGCAGTCAAACGATGTCCAACGAAACTTTAGATCAAGTCTGCCACTGCAATCTTCATTGCTTGAGCCACACGGGCATCAAACGTCGCAAAAAACACGTCACAAGTCACAGGCGTCATTAAAAGCCTGACCGTTTTTGAAGACTTGAACATGGCAGCCCAGAAGGCATGAGAGGGCTGCAAAAAGGGGCCCCAAAATATGGATCAAAGCAGACACATCACGTGCCCAATTACTCCTGAGGAAACATGGACCCTGAACCACGACTGGTGTCTAACATCATTTGCCAGCAGGACCCGTTTGGAGTCAACGACTTCAGTGACGTGACCTCATGCTGGGACCTTAAAAGCTCCCTCAAAGGGTCCTCAACATAACACCGGTTTGGGTGGTGGTTCCAGACATATGTTTTAGGCTTAGGGTTTAAAATAACTTTTACTGTTCAACCTTGATTGAACCCATTTGAATCCACTGACATCCGACTATTTTTTAAGTGAGTTACCAACCACCATGTGGTCTAGTTTCAGGGTTCATGTTGATGAGGGTTAACCTGTCCTCCGTTGGCGCCGGACTGCCGAGGACGACTTCAGATCAGGCTTGGCCGTTGACGACACGGCGAAGTCGTGCGGACGGAGATGGTAAGTCGTTAGTGGTCGTAATGTCGTCAGTCATCAGCTTGGCTTTGACCTTCCCTAGGGATCCAGTCGTAACTTCTCAGAAGATACGACTGGACCCTCCAAACCTACAGAACAGTGTCTCCAATCACCTTCTGAGAAGGTACTTGGATCCCTTGACCTTGAGAAGGGGGATTGGGGAATGTCCAGTACGAGTTCGGCCGGATACTCTCGTGTTCGGAACACCCCCAGCTTCGGGATGTCCGTTCGCGGAGTCGGTTGAAGAGAAGGAAGACATGATTGGCTGGTTTTGGAGGTCACCGGCTTGGCGATGTAGAGGGGGTTGATGGGGGGGTTGAGTGGACCGGGGCCAGCGAACTGGTGGAAGGAGTGTTGTTTAAGATGTTTAATGTCTTGTTCAACGGTGCGTCCTACCAGAAAAGAGACACCAACAGCCAATTTGGCACACTCATTTGAGGTATACTGTATACTCAAGTTCCCTGAGAGGTCATATTTGTTTGATTGCTGATATTTGTTTCGGGTTGTGAATGTACTGCATACTCAAGCTGCTGTTTAGGCTCGCAGTTGAGGAGCTTGACAAACCCATTTCCCAAATTCTTTGTTCCCGAAGTGGCAGACCGCCCGAAATCGCCGACCGAACCTACAGTGCCTAGGGAAATGGCTGGCATTAGACTCTGTCGATTGATGATGGTGTGTGCGAAAATCAAGACCTTGGAGCTTGTATTGTTGGTCCTCCCTGCAGACTGATGTGAGAAGAAGCTACTTTTGCAAAAAAAGAAACAGCAAACAGCCCTGTTGTACAAAAAACTGTGTAGCTTGAGAAAGTACTGTCCGTATGTCCTCCACTTCAGAAGGTCATTCAAGCGGTTTCAAACCCTCCAATCTCAATTTCATGGGTGCGAATTACACAAGACGGCAAACATCCATCCTTGTGGTAGCAATCAACCGCAATCAAGCGGCTCCACTCAGACAGTTCCATCATGTGACCAGTCCTGTGACCCCTTTTGGGGAACAAGTATTGCCAGCCCTAATGGCTTCAGCCATATCCTCAGAAGGTACTTGGACCCTGTAACCATCTGTAACCCACCCCAAAAAAGCTTCTTAGAAGATACTTGAAGCCCTAGGACAGCACAAGCCCAGATATAATATGACAAAGCCCCCCCGGCACCGGTGTTTGTCGTCCTCTTCGCGTCGATGGTGGCACCGCGAAGCTTGGCCCTGGTGGAGGCGCGGGATGGGTCGAGTCGCGAAGCGCGAAGCAGTTCAGTGGTCGCGGTGAGGTGTTGGAATGCCAAGAGGAGCATGTGGGGGGAAGGTCTTTATTTTAGTCATAAGATGTCAATAAGCTACTGTAGTTGAAGCATGTTGAAGCTATAGTTTGAATCGTTCGAAGGGGGCTGGTGACAGCACCCGTGGAGCACCTGGCGCTCGCACTGTCGGTGGCTTCGACCTCGCAGGGGGCGTTATCGCAAAGCGCGTAGTCACGCGGCCGCTTACACAGGTGGCGAAGCGCGAGGGTGGCCCCTGGTATGAAGCCATTTTGCGGGATTTGCAGCTGGACAAGGCTGGTGATTGGACGCCGTCGTCGCGACACACGTCGCGCGACACACGTTACGCGCGACACGTCGCGCGTGTTGCTGTGGGTTTGGAGGCCGCAAGTTGGGTGGTGATTGGAGGCAGCACCATGTAGCAAAACGACCCCAAATATGGGGCTAAGGATCACATGCATGCGATGTCCACAACCGGATTAAGGGGTGAATGTAACCAAATACTTCTATAGATCAGATACAATCCATACATGGATGGTTTGGGTTTTGCATGGTTTTGCTGTCTCACTGTCCCACTCTCCTTTTTTAACGAGATTTGCTGCTGGATTCTATTCACAGCGCTCTATTCACAGCGTCTCACCTATATATTTTGCAGGGATTGTAATTAGCAGTAGTATTATTCAGAAGAATTGCATTTTGAATTGTGCTGCTAGAGTGCTTCAATTCAACGTTGCTGAGACGCCTCGACCAAGCCATGAAACGCCCACACCTGTACAAGCATAGTCACCTAGTAATGATTCTAGACACATGCCATGCTGGTCAAGTGAACAGCGCAGATTACCAATTTGAAAAGAACCAAACATCAAAATATCCGCAGTTCTCACAAAAGGTCGACACGTCCCAGGTGGCCTCCACGTCTCTCTCTCTCTCTCTCGGCGAATGTGTCCGATCTCCTGCGAGCTGTTTCACAGCGCTCGCTCGTTCCAGCCACTGCACCGTTCGCGTTCGTCGTGGCCATGGCGTGTGCTGCTTTCCGTGTGGCGCTGGTGTCGCAAGGCACTCGCGGAGATACGCAGCCGTTCTTGGCACTGGCCAAGGAACTGGAGAGGAGGGGCCATGAGGTTGCCATGTGACACTTGACGTGAACAAAGTGATGTGGCTGGCATGGCTGGCCGGTGGTTTCAGATATATGTTTATCCCAGACACTCCATGTATGCCATATATGTTGCATGGAAAAGCTTCACAGTGGTTTTCGAGTACATATCTTTCAGATGGGGGTCCATCAAACAACCCTTTTGGAATTGTGCCATCTACGTTGAAACCACTGTATTTGGCGGGCTTTTGTTAGACTGTTAGAACTTATCCTGGTGCGTGCTAGAAAGGACATTTAGTGCAACGCACGTGGAAGACTCACAATCAAAGGTGAGTGTTTACGGTTTTTAGTCAACATGTGGGTCTTCCTGCTGTCTCACAACTTCTTGGCAACTAGCTGCTTGTAGGGAAGTAGTTGTCACCAATCAGATTTGGAAGCAGAACATGGAGAAAACATGGAGCCAAACAAGGGTAGTTCCCACATGCTTCCCACATATCGGATGCGTTCTACTTCTATTACTTAATCCATATTACCTTGGCGAATTCAAAGCTTTGTACAGATGTTTGGCTAATCCCATCACCCGCCCTACTGTCTCAGCTACTGTCTCCTCTGGACTGTGAGGCCTGTGCCTCCCTGTCTCATGAGTCCTGCTGAGACCCACTTCTCGGGCAACCAAACAAGAGTTTCATTCCTATTCTTGGTGTTGCGTCAGGGGGGTGATTAGTACCTCCCCTGTTTCAGGGGCCAAGATGGGTGAATTTGTGGGAAGATGATTAGAATGATGTAACAGCTTGGATTCCTGGACAGCAATCCAACGTTGTCCATTTGCCACCCAGCGGAAACCGTTGGTTTCATGCCAGACGGAACCGTTGTCGGCACGGCACAGGAACGGGCTGTAAGAAGGTTGCAGAATTGGAGGATTTAGAGCAGGGTAGCTCCCAAGTTGAGGATCATGCTCCCATATGCTCCTAGAGCTCCGAGTACCTTCGTTTCGAAGGTGGGACTGGGGTAGCTTTGGAGGGTCCAGTCGTCATACCTTCGTTTCGGAGGTATGTCTGGAGACCCATGGGCTGTGAAAACAGGCCTTTCGAGACAACACCGAGTTCTTCGACCAGCCCAGGCTGCTCTGCCTGTTGCGTCCCCTTGGCACGAGACTATGGCATCCGTGCCACAGGGATGACCTTTGACCCACGGAAAGCCATTGAGAGCCCCGAGATGCAAGAGGCCATTGATCAGGGAGGTGGCAGCGCATGCGTCAGGGCCTTCATGCTAGCGCAAGAGGAACAGATCCGAAGCTCTGGATGCTTGGCGAAAGCCGGTCGCAGTCGCAGTCGCAGTCGCTGCTTCATGTTTCCAGTGGCGCTCAGGTTGAGAAGACAGCTTGGGCAAGTTTGTGGAGGGATCGTCCTGCATCTGAAAAGCTGGAGTTGTTTTCTTACTAGAAAATGTTGAACAGTATGACTGACCATCACTTGGGGAACATTTGTGGGCACAGGGTGCAGATATTCATCTTATTTCATGTTGTTTTCCTTTGTGAGTCTCTGCTGGCAGCAAACACTCTTTCTAGCCACGGGAAGTGCGATGACCCTTGCCTTCGGCCATGCCACGTTCAACGTCCGTCTTCCGTCCGTGCATTCGTTCTCGAAGACGTTGGTTCGAGTTCACCAGGCATGTCATCCTTATTTCCAACCTTATCCTTATCCCGTTCAGCCCCATCCATATTATCCGTCCTTATGTTTGCATACTTGCCATGAATGGGACAGGTCATCCTTATCTTGTCCAGATAGCTATACAGAAGCAGATTGCGTCTGAGGCGTCGACCCAGCCGATGAGGTCTATGACTTTCTAAAAGGCTTTGGAGCCTCGGGTCATCAAGATAGTATGTGCAATACCCAGACCATCCATGGGACTGGAATACTTGTATACATTCGGGCCATTTTCAGGGGGTAAATGATGTTAAATGTAACATAACCTTATGGTACCTTATGTAGCTATTCCATGCACGGATGGTCTGGGAATGTTTGGGATATATATTGTTTTTTGTATGTTTTTGTTAAAGAGTGGACATCCGCATTTGGGACTTACGATCCCTGAGCTCTTAGAGCTCACTCAGCTCGAGTGGTCAGGTCTAGGCGTTGCGCTTTTGATCGAGCGGCGAGGAAAGGGGGGGAAATGCCAGGCACTGGGTGAGCAAATACCAAGACTTGGTTTGCGTGAAAACCTACAGCAAATCCTGTGTTTTTTTTCTCCAATTACAAGAACGATTTATTATCCTACCCAGTCAGTGGATACCTTTTTGTTGGTGATTGTGCACGCCCGACAAACATCCAAAAACATAGCAAGATCGGAGTTCACAGTCCAACCGGCTGTATCGGCTCGTCACCCAGAATCTTTGCAGCCGGTGGGACCGCCACGTAAACATCGCACTCCCTCGGACCATGATGGAAGCTGAGCAAACCTCCTCGCCTGTAGAGTAGAGGAACGTGATCTTCCTGGTCGCCCGAACTGTTCCACTATGTTCCACTTCCCTTCAACGAGTTTTTCCTAAAAAATCTCAGCTCCGGGCCCAGCTCCCTGAACCTTCCATGCTTTCTTTACAGTGTAGAATATGTGTTTTCGACCAGGTGCATCGAGGTGGGGGGGCCCTTCACACCGGGACCATGACTCCGAGCCACGTGGGTTTGGACCCGGATCCCAGGCGATGCCGCACGTTTGGAGCCAGGTGGTCTATACTTTTATTTGGACCTGAAAACGGGGTGTCCTGGCTGGAGGTCCCTTAGTAGTGGCTTCCAGCCAGGTGACCCCGACATGAAGGTGCTGGTAGGATCTTGTAGGTCTAGGAAACACTAGTTGCCAGCAAAGTAGATGGTCAACCTGTTTGCGGAGGTGTTGGAACATTTGAAGTGGAGGTGGAGGTTCATGCCATTTCCAAGGCCTGTCTCCCAAAAAGGAATCCAACGCTTTTAAGGCGCAGATGTGCTGGTGTGCCATCCGAGTTTCCTTCCTTTGCACGTGGTGGCGGAGGCCTTTTCACTGCCCGTGGTCAATGCCGTGACCCAGCCATTTTTTACCCTCAGCAGTGGAGCCGCCGGTGTTCTTCTCTCAGGAGCAACTGGCCAAAGAGGGTCTTGTGGGAAGACCCGTGGAAGCTCACAAACTGTTTCTTGACCAGATGGCAACTGTTTTCAGTGGGTGGTCCTCTTTCCAACAAGCAGGGGCAAGGATTACATGTTGTTTTCACAGGCCATGTCCCCTTTCAAAAAAAATAAGGCGGCTTGTCCACACTCCAGCACACTCCGACAGGTCATCACCCGCCACTTTTGAGTCTCCAAAAGCAGGTTGCTGGTTCCACTGAGGATTTGGGACAGCTACATCCATGCACAGGAATTTGAGCGGCTCAACCGCTTGCGTGTCAAGTGGGGCTTGCGACCTTATGAACATGTTACAGCGACTTGGAACGCTGATGAAAGGTTGTGTGACATTGACACTTCAACAGCCTATCCTCGATCCTGACGATTAGGAGAATCACGGGAGAAAGCCAATTCTCAGTTCGCTAAGCCGCTAAGCCTTGCACCCCGTGCTGAAGTTCTGAATAATTCAATCACCCTCGTGCTACAACACTATATAACACATTATGTGATGTACATGATAGATTAGTATACGGTATGCTATAGCACGGAAAAACATTGCAGGTCATGTATGGCAGCTGCGTTTTTGCGCACATTTGGACCCCGGAATTCCACCACTCCAATTGATCGAGTCCTTGACCGGAGCGCGGTCCTTCACGGCTCGGGGGTATATGGTTTGTTTGGCCAATTGTCCTGTGACAGTGTTTGACCAATTGGTGTGTGTCGCATGGATGTCGAGACGTCAATCTTTTCTTGATCTGATATCCAACCGAAGAAGAAATCTCCACCCCCTTTAGGCAATCAAAGCCAGGGGGGGGACCTTTTTATTGTAAGTTACATTTTGGAGGGGGTGTGGAAAATGCAACTTACCCCTCCCGGTCCATTTGTAGACCTTTTTCTAGGGCGTAGTGCTGGGCATTGCTAAAATAGGTTGCATATTGGAGAAAGGGCACGGAAGGCCCGTTCATATTGACTGTTCGACAGCTCCCAAAGTACATAATTATGACCCCCCCCCTCACAAAAAGCATCTCAAGAACACCTTTTGACAAACTGCTTGTCCATCCAATACATGGTG